CCCCAAGAAAAAAAAAAATTAGTTAGCATCCTATTCCGTGCATGGTGTCAAATACCAAACTTTTTTCTAATGTGGCAAGATTCTGAACATTTAATGGAGACAACAGCACATACACAACCGAATTTGGAAAGACATCACCTAGGCAATTCAATTGACTGGTGCTCTCTTGAAGAAATAATAAAATTCAAGGATGGGTTAATATTTTAAAAGAAACAAAAGAGTCCCCCAATTCTTAATTCTCTTTTCAATCAATGACAACAACAAAGAAAAAAAACCCCCCTTGGATGTTTAAAAAGATAGTAACTAACTAGAGAGAGAGTGAAAAAATAAATAAAATATTTTGATTGTTTTATATAATTATGACTATAATTGGTTTTGAGTATTGATTTGGGTGTGTTTCGTTGGGAGAGACCTGTGAATTGGTCCTGAAATTAAGAAAATCGACTGAACGGTTGAATTTTTAACGGTGAGGCAAACTGGACACGCCCGAAAATGCGTGTTGCACTGAGCGCAGATGCACAGGTGTCGACACGGCAAAACCACCACAGAAGCCACCCGTTTTGCGCAACCTCTGCATTTCGGACCAACTCGCTCCGGGTCAACACATGCTGACTCGGCATCCTCCGCCTCGCCCCCGGCACATGACAGCCCTCCTCCGCCGTCTTCGCCACTCATCATGGCCTGCTGCAGCTGCGCCTGCAACGATGCCGCAGTTGCTTCCTGCGCCTTCGCCTTGGCCTGCCAAAGCTGCGTCTCCACGCCAAGCTGTGCCGCGCGTGCCTCCAGCTCCGCGTTGCGTCTAGTCGCTTTCTCCACTTCTGCCTCCTTCTCCCTCAGCCGCCGCAACACCGATTCCTCCGTTACCCTTAGCAGTGCCCGATAATGCCTCTTCCTCTTCTCCGTCAATGCCCGTCGCAATTGCTCGCCCTTTAAATTAACAATATTGATAAAATAACATTTTTTTTTAATCACGACCTCCATTGTTAACAGTACAAGCATGTAAAGGTACCTGAACTTGAAGGAATCGGTCGATCTCATCGTGCTGTTGTTTGATTTGCAAGGTCAAACCATCGGGTAATAGAGATAGAAAAGAAGAGGAGTGACAGCCATGATTTTGCTGTTGCTGCTGATGTAATTGTTGGTCACCAAAGGATAAGCCCAGTCCTGTGGAGACTACATTTTGATTATGAAGTTGAGTGAGGTCTACGAACTGTGGAGATTGTGATTGTGATTGTAAAGAGAAGGAATTGACAAGGTTTGGCGCAATGGCCTTAGCTGCTGCTGCTGCTGCTTCTCTTCCTCTCTTTCGAGAATTACTACCTGTTTCATGAATCATTCAAACAGGTGATTCTTCAATAGTTTAATAAGAACAACTACATGCATAAGTGTTGGACAGAACAGAGGAAAAATAAAAAAAGTACCTCCGTTATTGAATAACATAGGAGATTGATTATGATCAAGGAGTTCCCCTGTCAAAGAATAGTCATGTGGTGGTTCTTTTCCGCGGTTCCAAATAACATGAATGATAATAACAGTAATGAGAAAGAATGATTGTCATGTGCAAAGAAAAGAAGGTGGAAGGATGGAAAAATTGAAACGGGAAAGAAGATGCAAACCTGCAGTCTAGAAAGAGTACATTGGAGGGATATGAGCTTGAACAGCCATGAATGGTTTGAGAGAATGTGAATGGAAATGCCAGAAGTAAGAGAGAGAGAGGAGAAGCAATAAAAATGAGAAACACAGAAGAAAAAATGAGAGAAATAAGACGGAGGCCTATAAGGCGGAGTGGTTCAATAAGAGGATGGGACCAAAAGCAAAAATATATATAAAAAAAAAAAAAATGAAAGGAGATGAGAAGGAATCAAAAGAGAATGGAAGAAACGGTATCTCTTGAGAAAAGGGCCAGCAAAGGCAACAGCAGAAGCAGCACCATCTTCAGAGAGTGGTAGTAGAAAGAGGTGGGGAAGCGATAGATGCGTTTGAAGCGAATGAGTCCAACAAATAAACACCTTATTTCTTTGCTTCCCCTTCCCTCGCCTCCGTTTATGTTTACCTTGCCTTTTCCTTCACAACCTAGTCTCCCCTTTCCTATAATTACTTTCCCTAATTTAGTCCCTTTTTTTATTTCACCAAATCCTCATCAACAATAATTAACCTTTCATCACAATATTTACTAATAATAACACCACTCATACCATTCCATCCATTTCCACCAACCATTCCACCATTCTGCCTCTGCAATTCTTTTCACCTTTCCTTTCTTCATACCCTTCCACTTTCTTCAAAAAATAACCATATGCTTAAGCTAAACTATTCGTTACTCCTTTCTCTTTATTATTTCATTTTCAGACGTGTCGGAACTTTTCAAAATATATGCCAACGCTCCTTCCAAACAACATATCTTTCAATTTTACTATTTATAGAACATGCTGTTACATTTTTATGGATATCTTTATTATTTTTTATGTATTAATCCACTGATTATCGTATCTTTTAAGACCATTATTTCTTATTTATCTGTAAGATTTCTTACTTTATATATACTCATTCTAAAATGGGCATCTCCTTTCATGTTTGGAGAGATTTAAGTATTTATTGTTATGTGAATATTTTTTTTATAAAATATTTATTAACAAGTTTTAAATATACTGGATGCTATAATATATACATAATTGGGTTGAAAAATAGTAGTAAAACATTGATTTAGAATTTTGATGTGCTGTATGTAGATGTTGTGTGAACAGCAGAGAAATAACTTTATCTTGTATTTCCCTCTCATCAAAATCACATTCTTCTCTGTAACATTTTTTGCTACATTCCAATGAAAAAACTCCTCTTCCTTGTCTTTAATATATATCAAGATTCTCTTTGTTTCTTATTCAACTAAGTTAATTTTCGCTCATTAAATATATTTACTTTTTATATTTCTACGTGTCTCGCTGGTTAAATTATTCACACTCATTGTACTGTTTAAAACATAAATATCAGTATGAAATTCCATATTTTACAAATAAAAGTATAAGTCTCTCACAGCTAAATATTTGTTTTTAGTAATCCGAGTTTATCATCACTAAATCTAAAAAATAAGTAATATAACTTAAAAAAAAAGCTAGTGCGGATCAACATGCACAAAATTTATTTTGATGATATATTTATTAAGTTTCCTGTGAGGTCATATGTAATAGAAAAATGATTTAAAAGACCGGAGAAAAAAAATTATAAAATACTACATTATTTAGTCTTTGATTAAACTTTTTCCCTGTTAATTTTATTAAGATTTCAGGTGTGGACGATTTCAAATTATTATTTGAAAAGCTTTCCCATCCTTTACAAAAAATCACAATGCAGTTAACCGTTCTCATTTTCATCTAATGTACTATTAATTGATATTTATATTTGTTAACAGTTAAGTCTTCATACCATATAATTTTCCTGTTTTTAAAAAGATTACTTTAAGGAAATAAAAAACAGTTCAAGGAAGTAACTCTACTTTTCCACGTGTTAAAATAAATAATGAATATGTTTTGTGAATAACATTTTTTCTTCTAATGCTAAACTAATTAAGGTTAATTAATATTTATCTTAACTGTCACCAAATCAATATCTGTTATTGATAAAAAAATATTCAGTATACATGTAAATTAATTAAAGGTTTTAAATCCTTTTTGGTCCCTAGAAAGGGGGTCAATGTTCATGTGGTCCCACCTTTTTTAGAAGTTCCTGTGATCCCATCTTTTGTAAAAAGTGTGCAATCAAGTCCTTTTTGGAAACGGCGTTAAGTTTTTAACGGATCAGCTGACAGGATGGACCTGAAGTTTAGTTACGTGGCTTTTGTGGTGGGTACATCGTTGCAGTGAGAGGGTGATCGTTGCTTTGTGAGAGGGTAAATCAGAAATTAAGGGTTTGAGTGCAGAGAAATTGGGAATTGGGATTTCTTCTGAAGACTGTTAGTCGTGTTACTCGTAGACCAAACGAAGGACGACTTCTTGTTAGGTCCTTCAATGGAATTTCTTACGGTTTTAGCAATTTGACGGTGGTGGTATTCGAGGAATCATTCCCGGTGTTCTTCTTGCCTACCTTGAGGCTCAACTTCAGGTTAGCAAATTGCAGTGTTTTAAATTTTAAGTTAGATTCTAAGGCTTCTGAATGTCTGTCTATGCATACATATATAGGAGTTAGACGGTGAGAATGCAAGGATTGCAGATTACTTTGACGTGATTGCTGGGACAAGTACAGGGGGTCTCGTTGCTGCCATGTAAACAACATCCTAACCCATGGCCAACAAACGCCCTTTATTTGCTGCCAAAGAAATTGTCCTTTCCTTTTTCCTCCAAAAGTCCTCCACTTTTCCCTAGCAAGGACGGCTTCTTGATTTTAGGAAGTTTCCAAATGGTTATGTAACTGCAGTTCAGTTCTATATTTGCACAGTTCTGTATTTCCAAATGGACCACCGAGAAGATCCTTTATCCCAACTTTTCAAACACGACGAACACCCTTAAGAAGAAACACCCTTAAGAAGAAACACGACGATAAATCCCAATTCCCCCCAATTTCTCTGCAACCTCACACCCTAATTTCTGATTTACCCTCTCAAGCCGTATCACCCTCTCACTGCCAGTATTACCGCACACAATGCCACGTACACTAACTTCATCCACCTGTCCGCTGCTCCTTAAACACTTAACGCCGTTTCCACAAAGGACTTGATTGCACACTTTTTACAAAAGATGGGATCACATTGAACTTCTAAAAAAAGGTGGGACCACATTGAACATTGGCCCCTTTTCTAGGGACCAAAAGAGGTATTAAACCTTAATTAAATATCAAAGGAAAAAATAAAAATAAGATCGCTGAAAAAGTAGTGTTATTTTTAAATTTAAAAAATATGAAAAAACAAGAAAAAAATTTCAAAATGCTGCGGTTAAAAAGGAAGAGATTACAAGCTAGAATATTTTTCAATAGATAAATTAAATTATAAGAAAAAAAAATCATAATAAGTAAATTTATTTTATAAAAGTTTCATAATAAACTAATTATATTCATCATTGATATATCATTTAATATTAAAACTAAATTAAAAAATATGAAAAAAATATTTATATATTTAAATGAAAGAAGAATATGTTGAAAAAAGAAGATGGTAAAATAGGTAGGGATATTAATACGTTGTCAGCATAGAAAACTGTAGAAGGTCGGTATGTTCTAATTTAGTTCCCGCGTATTGTTAGTAGGTACAGGTGGTTTTCCCTCTGGAGGATGATAATGTTATTGGCAGCCACAACAGCTCTGTGACTTCCATTTTCGATCATTATAATGGCAATGCCTCAGAATACGTGGTGCGGGTCCCCAACAGAGAAATTGAAGGAGAAGGAGAAGAAGGGAAATCAAAAAGCACTTCTGGGAACTTGCTATAGAAAAGCAATTTTTTATTTTTTTTATTTCTCTCTTGTTGCTACGTCTAATTACTTAGCTTTCAATTTCACTTAAATATAAACAATTCCCCCACAATGTTTGCGGCATATATATGTGGTTATGGTTTTATTGAGTGGCTGGTCAAAGGTTGGTGGTTAGAAAATGGTACATGAGTTTTGATGGCCTGTAATTTTGGTAAAATAATTGATGGCCTTTCTTTTTATATAGACTTTAGGTTAAGTTTTTGTCTACAAAATTTTTAAATTTTAAGTTGAGATTAAGATTTTGTTTTTAGTCTTATTTTTACCATTTGATTAAGTTAAAAAAGTATTTTAGTAATATAAGCGTAGTAAAAGAGTACCTAACTATTTAGATATTAAATATATATTTTTAGATTTTATGATGAATTTTTTTATTAGTACCTATCGATCCATTAATATTTTGTATAGAATTGAAAAAGTTATTAAGTGTTTGGTTCATAATTGATTAAGCTAAGTGATAATTATGTGTATGGTATAATCTTTATATTGAGCATTTATAAAAGGATTTTGTTGAAAACACAGAGTGAGGTGAGTAAGGGTATATAAATGCAAAGAGATAAGGATGTGGAGAAGGTGGAAAAAGATTGAAAATCTAAAATTGATTTTGTGGAGTTTTCAATGTCTCTTGGTGAACAAACAAATAATGTGATGCATAGAAAGTAGGAACATAATTTAGGGCGAAGACGCACAAGAGAAAACGACTTCTACTGCTATGAAAGGTTTACTATGATGCCAACCCAACCATTTATTTCACTATTAGGGAGCTCCATCTTCTCAATTCTGATGGGGTTGGTTTGCTTTGGTTGTAGCTAGCTAGCAAGCATATATGCATAAATTTATATACTTATTTATTTAGTAATGAGATTGATAATTATAATGAAAAAAAAGGCATGGCATGGGCTGGCATTGTTTGGAATGACTGTGGTGATAATTGTCATTATTCTCACTTTGGATGCAAACAAGAGAAGCTGCTATTGCCTTTCAAAGTTCAACCATACCAAACCATATATCTTCTCTTTTCCACTTTCCAACTCACCTTATTTAACTTTTATTCTTCACTTTCAAAAACACTACAAACATCTCTGCCAAACTTTCCTATTCTTAATTTAACTAGGTGTTATTTTCAAGGTGCTCCAACATTTTCATCATCATATATCGATAAAACTAAACAGCCTATATTTTATATTTTTAACAAAAAAATTGTATTAAAAATATTAGACATATATTTTATATTACAATATAATTTGTTTTTTTACTATTGATAATTTGTTTAATATTTTCAATTAACAAATGAAAAAGTGATAGAATGAAAGAGATTAGAGACTGAAGAAACAAATTCTAGAAGCAGTTATATTAACGCGTTATTGTTGAAAGATAACACTTCAATATAACTGTATTAATTCGCTTAAATCTATCTATAGACTAGAAAGAGTTTCAAGACTTGGTCCAAAGTTTCATATTCTTTTAAATTTATATTTTTTTTTCAAAAATCAGGATTTATAATGTGACTTATTACTTAGTTGCAATAAAATAAATAACATACATTTAAAGTTTTTTTTTTCACATTTATTCAATCCTACGTATTAGACTTTTCTCTCCCAAACACAACTTCAAACAGTATGCCTTGTGTTTTTCTCTTGCTTTCGGGGGCAAATATCTTGAATTTTTTATGAACCAAAAACCCTAGAATTCACAACAAAATAAATTATTTCTACGTATTCAGAGTGTTT